CCGCCCCAGTGCAGAGCAGAGGGGGATGATCCCCTCCCTCGCCCGGCTCACAGTGCAGGGCTGGATGCCCCCAGATGGAAAATTTGTGCCCACCAGCGCCACTAATCTCCCCTTTCCCCAGCTGCTCCTCTGTCAGGAGATGAGGGGTTCTGCCCAGCGCAGAGCAGGGGGGTGGCAGCCTGCCTGCACCCCTGCCTGCACCCCTGCCTGGTTGGGTTCTCCTGCAGGACTCACCTAAGAGGGTTGTCTTGGCGCTGTAACTCCCAAAGTACCTCTCGTCGGTGTTGGGCGTGTGACACTCGTACTCCCCGGCGTCCCGGTCCTGCAGCTCGGTGATGTGCAGCAGGACGGCGTCCCCCTGCACCCGCTCCACGTAGATCCCCCGGCTGCGCACCCGCTGGGTGTAGATGGCGTAGGGGAAGGAGGGGTCCACGGTGCTGACGATCTGCACCTCCCGCTCGGGGGCTGAGGGCAGGTAGATGGACCATTGGAATTTCTGCTCCGAAGGACCCTGGTAGCCGCTCACTTTGCACCACAGCGTGATGTGGGACCCCTCTGTGCGGTAGAGTGGCCCTTCCTGCACTGTCACTTGCCGCTGGGCCAAGGCCATGCCTGTGGGAGGAGAGGAGCCCAGCGTTACTTCTTGGCAAGAAGCCCCCAAGATGTACCAGTCCTAACCCCACCACGGCCTTCACACCCCACTTTAAAACTAGCACAGCACCCGCCCCAGCCACGTTGCAGCTTTTTGCTGACTCAAGTGGTTTTTAAAAACACCCTGAGGAAAGAAATGGTGTTGAGATAACAGAAAACCTTTCTTTGGTAGCGATAAGAATGCAGGCACGAGAAGGTCCTGCACCACACGGCAATAAACCAGAAACTCAAGCTGACAGGGTTTTGTTTTCAGTACCGCTCTCATTTCCCAGCCCCATCACCCTGTGATCCCGTGGGGCACTGGGAGGTAGCACGTGGCCACTGGTGGGGTTCCCTGGTTCAGCACCAACTCCTGGCACAGCCCAAACAAGACCATCTCCCATTAATGGCTCAGGAGGCTACGCTCCCTCCTCAGGTTTCCAGGCTGGAGGCATCAGCTGGTACAAAATCCCATTCTTTTTCCTCCCCCCCAAACCCAACACGCCTTCTCCAATCTCTCCGTTACGCTTGTAAAGACATACGGGGGAAATACCACATTTCTGGCACTGCCTATTCCAAGTCTATTTGAAAAGAGTATATTTAGTACATAAGAAAAACAATTAAAGTTAACAGAGGGAGTGGGCATATTACACTAAGACTTGACTTAACCGCCCCTGGCTGCTGGAAATCAAGACCCAGTACGGTGTGTTGTACACACAGAGCAACTTGTGCAGCACGGAACAAAGACAATCCCACAGCACAGTGACTGTATTTTATTTATTATTTATTTTTTTTTTACACAGATTATGGATGGCTGGCCCTTGGGCTCATGGCACATTACCAGCACAGCCCTCCAGGGGCTAGATAAATTACAGCAATCTATCTTGTTTGTTGTTACATCAAAGGCTCGAGGTCTGGAGACCACGGTGGGTGTTCATCGGTTATTGAGTTACCAGCAGCACGCGCACATGGCGAGGCCAATCACCCCGGCTGCTGGGACTGCTGGCTCCCCATCACAAAACAGCAATAAGCCGATTTAAAGCGGGTCCTGCATAATCAGGTTTGCAAATTTTATCCTCTCTGTGCTCGTGCACGTTGAGGGTTTTTTCCCCCACCCCATCCCTCTCTCTCTCTCTGATTTTTGACAACAATGTTCCAAGTCCAGAGAAGAATTTAACCTTTCAAACATGAGCAATTTGCAGGTGGAAAGAGGTAGCCTGACATTTGGGGATTACTGACTCAACCCCACCTTCTGGATATGGATGTCTAGATACAAAATTCTTTTCCACAGCCAGCCTGGACAGGAGCCAGGAGAGGTGGTTCTTTACCAGCTTAAAATAAATTGTGAAAAATGGGTTCAGCACATCCATGAGGCCATGCAGCTGAACAGATGGAGCGCAATTCAAACTATTAACTTGGGCTCAGCTCGCTGCTGCTCCAAATTATGTTTCTTTTTACTCTTTATGAAATAATGTGATTTAAGGGGAAGACGGGGAAAGCTTAGCACGTTCAAAATGAATAGGGAGAGGAACAACAGAAGCAAACACTCCCCCACTGTTTGCTGGACCAATCTCTTCATCCTGGGGAAAAGATACCGCTAGAGACAACTAACACAGCTAAGGCGCAGGCAGCCTCTTCTCTCACCCCGTAAAGGCCAAAGGACAAAGCAAATACTACAGCCTTTGAAGTGAACTGTTTTTAAAGCAGCAGGAAGGGTAAGATCTTTATTGCACACCTAAAGACAGCTCATAATACAATTTCTGGATGCTCTCGTAGCCTTGCTACAGCGTGCAGATACCCTGCAAGCAGTCAGACAATTAAAATTGCGCCACGAGGCAAACGTGCAGCGGTAGGAATTCAAAGTTGCACACACAACCCTCATCCAGGTATTTCTCAGCTGAGCACACAGCCTTGTTTTGCAGCCTTTTCATGCAGTCCTATTTTATTCTTTATTTGTTTTTTACATAGGAATTCTGTGAGGAGTTTTCCAACTATCCAGCCAAAAACCATTATTTTATCAGACAAGTATTAGCCCTTGCACAGCTCGCTGGCAAGATCACTACCTCACTGATGCCCACAGCCTTTTGGTAGATGTCAAATCCCACCACCCTCATGGCCAGTGCTAACGTGGGCTTCCTTCTTCTGTTGCCATTGGTTTTTGAGACCTTGTCTATAACCCTACAACCTGGACTCCAGGTTCAGAAGAGACCCACTTTCTACATTCCTCCTTTTCTATATTCCCTCTTGCACTGGATTGTGGCACTTTCCTGATCCAGCCAAAAGCAAGACAGGTAAGAGGTGAAGAGCTCCCTGCTTCCCCTTCTGGCTCCAAAAGCCCAAGCACCTGAAGGACAGGAGAGGTCAGTGCAAGAGAAGTCCTGCCCAGCTCCAGCGTGGAAGGAAGATAAAACAGTTGGGGTTTTGCTACAACTTGCAGCACGTTGCTGTTCAGCCTTCGAGATGTGAGACACAAAGGCTCAGGAGTTGGATGAACAGGGTGGATCTCCAGAGGGGCAGGGAGTGGCACATCTGCAGTGCTCTTCCTCCTGCCTGGCTGCAAACTCCTGCTCCAAAACAGATGGGAAGAAGTGCTTTTCAACACTTAAAAAAACCCCACAGAGCAGAAGCAGAGACAGTTCTCTCTTAAAATCATTTTAACTGAGAAAGGGAAGGAGAAAACCAAATAGCCTGAGACAGACATCCACCACCTCAAGCTGTATCCTCAAATGGTTAACTTTCTGCATGGTGAAGGGTGTCGGCAGTTTTCAAGCTCTGGGAATTGCTGTATCCAGGATGATGCAGTATCAGGAGAAGAACTGCATTTCTCAGCGAGCAAACATTCTGATTAACAAAAATAATGCGCCTGAGATCCCATTTTAAACTCTCATCTTTCCCTCTCGAAGTGAGAGAAGAGCTCACTGGAGGAGGAGCTGTGTGCTCCACACCTCCCCTAGGACACCCAGGAGACAGTTATGGTGGCATTTGGCTGGTACTTCACTGGCACAGCTGGCTTTTAATTGCAAATCCAATATAATTTACTGCCAATGTAAGGGCTGATATGGAGGAGGTAGAAAGCCAAGTGCTACTTTAAAATTAATAAGAAATGATAGGTTTGTGCATCTGGGTTATTTCCAAAATCCCTCATGATAAGGAGGAAGCATTCCCTGATCCTTATGCCCTACAGATGAGGGCCATTGTCACTGGTCTTTTGAGCTAAGAGCAAGCCAAACAACAGCCAGGCTGCTGTCAACAATTCTGCTGGCTTACCCATCTCCTAGGACCCTTTTGGGACACAGGAGATGTGTGGTGGAAAGAGGAGGAGGAGGCAGCAGCAAGAGATGGTGCAGGCGGGCGATCAGACTCAAGGTCATGCGACAAGGGGACCATGCAGGACCCAGGCACCAGCAGATGCCTGGTCCCTGCATCTCCCCTACACCAGCCTGCCCAGCAGGCCCCAGGGCCACAACCAACATCATGAGATGCAGTTCTGAAAGGCAGGTGAAAGGCAAGGGAGAAATGCAACATCTAAGTCACCTGGTCATTTGTGTCTCCCTTGTCATGACACAGCCAGGACTTCAAAGCCTCTCCATTCAATCTACGGGCAAGAAAGAGGCATGGAGTTACCTGCCAGCCAGGCATCTCACCCAGAAGCACCACAGTTCAGCTTCTGAGTACGCTTTGTCTTTGCAATATCTGCACCCTCCCAGCAACATCAGCTGACTACAGCAAGATCTGACCTTTCCACAGGGAGACACGCAGAGCTCAAAGCTTGGGTTTTCCAGACATGATCGGTCATTTCAGCTGCCTGATTTGAAATATTTTGAAGATGACCCATTTCAGAAAGTGCCAAAGGCTTACTCTCTGGGAAGGAGGTGGACCTTCAGATCCCTTTGAGAAGAACAGGCATGCAAAATTGTATCTGAGAACATTGATTTGAGGCTTATCACAAGGGATAGGCATGCACGATGAAAGAAAGGATAGCTGTGCACACAGAAACTCTGCCACAGCACTGACACACCAAAAGAATAAATAAAAATTAGGGACACAATGATCAAGAACCTCTTGCACAAACACTCTCCCCATCTCTCAAGAGTGTGGGTCATGCCTGCGCCACACCTAAAGGCACCACAGCAAGTTCCATCAAGGTATTTTAGATATCAATAATCACTGCCAGTAGACCTTTGATCTGAAAGATAAACTTGAGCTCTTAGAAGGAGTACTATCCTGGGTCTCTAATCATTAGTGAGCAACTTAAAAAAAAGTCTTTATATTTTCCATATCTTCCAGAAGGGTAGGACTGAGTGCTGAACACCAAATGGATTACGTAGCTTGAGGGGATGTTTCTACCTCTACAGTTTTACAGCAGTTTTTCCTTCACCTAGAAGCTCTAAAGCAGTATTTGTCAATAACCCATAATGCTAACCCTACCTTTCCTTTAAGAATTCCTTTGTGCCTTTGACTATAATTAGACAGAAAACGTTACCAAAGAAATCCTTCTATCCTACTCTCCCCATCCCTTGTGCAAATACACAGCTCACGTTTGGGTTTTTTTGTTGTCGCTATTGTTTGTTCAATTTATAAGTGAAGAAGTGTGAAAGACCAACAATGGTAACAAACACTAGGACACGGCTACATATAAGAAATAATGGAGCAGGTGAGGACCCTGGCCTGGAAAAAAAGATGACTTTAAGAGGATTTGGTAAAGGTCTAGACAAATATGCATGCCATGGAGAAGATGGTCAAGAATAGACCATTTACCATCTCTTCCAGTTTAAAACCAAAGGTCCATCAACTGAAACTGGTCAGTTCCAGTTCTACACCAAGTGAAGCAGTTCTTGCAGCTGCACACGGCAGACCTGGGGATGTCCTTTCCAAGGGATGCTGTGGATATGGAACGTCAACATGAGCTGAAAGGCGGGCGAGACAAGTACTTGAAAGAGGACTAGATCACATCAGGTCGGGACGCTCCCAAAACAAGCT